CTCCCAACAAATGCCACAACTTATATATCACATATAGTGCATTTTCACAATATCACATTGTCGATTGTCATTATTAATTCACACATATGCATCATGTATAAAGTTCTTTATTTTCAAAAGCCATTTCATATATAATACATCACATTAACAAAATTGCATTAGTAAGTTCAAAATATCAATCACATTTTCAAAGCAACAATTTCCATAAATAATTAATTAATATTCAACTATACAAACTAAATTTCTCCTGTTTACCTTAAACCATTGAGAATTCAAAGGTTTACCCCTCACAATACTAACTTTTAAAGGTTCTTTCCAAGCTTGAATGGTGCCAAATAAACAGTCTACAATCAATTTCATAAGGATAATATCATTATCCCATCTTTGGTAATTTTCAATACTATAACTCCATATTTCCCTCTCATCAAAATCATAATTTCGCTCCCATAATACCCAATGGTTTTATTAGATTCCATTGACCCACATTTTCAATAATGAGTTATTAAACCATCATTAATAAGCATCAAATACTCCCAACAACTTCATTTAATACCAAATTTGGATATTAATGGCTCCCAACTATTAACCACTTACAAAACCATTAATTTTGGATTTAAATACCCTAAACAACTCCCATTACATTCATTTTAACTAATGGATTTAGACCCATAACTCATATAGAATGAAAATTACCATTAACACTTAAACTTTAACTCAACTCTTCACGAAAATGGAAGGAAAGGGGAAGAGATAGGCTTAATAATCTTACCTTAGGTGTTGGGAAGCTCCAAAATATCACCAATAGTTTCAATGTATATGCCTTAGCAGAGCCAAGTCATGCCTTTCATTTTCTCACCTTCTTCTCTTCTAATTTTGCACACAAACACAAACTAACAAATGTAGATTTTTGGCTGTGAGCTGCGGCACACATAACCTCCTGCCACGGCCCATGGCACAAGGAGCCCCAATTTATGCTGATTTGCCTCTGTGCATCATAACGGTCATCCACACACTACGACATGAGGCATAAAGGACTTTTCTTCAATTTTTCCTCTTCTTTCCTTGCTAAATGGGCCAACTTCACTTCGAACTCGCATTTAGAGCTAAAGTCAAAATCAAATACACTTATTAGATCTCTCTGGCCACACACCTCATTAATTCACTAATTTTCCTCATTAAACTTAATTAATTGGGTTTAGATTTCCAGGATGTTACAAAATGCGCTGGAGAGCACACCTCTCACACTCATTTTAACCTAAAAAACATAACATAGCTGACATACACTCATCTCTCATCCATTTCCTTCATTTTCATTTTACAAACTCTCACTTGTTCTTCATTATTCTTCAATTTTCTCTAAAATTCCACCCATGGCCCCCTTTCTCTCCTCTATCTTTCTTCATCTAACCATTGCATCCTCACCAAATCACTCCCATTCTTCTTCTCTCACTCTCCTCTACACATTCCTACCACTTGATTATCCATTCCATGCTTCCTTTGTCACTTTTGTTCATGAAAAATTTCAGCCACCTCATGCTTTCCATGGAGGACTTGAAGAACTTTGAAGGCTAAACCATTTTCGGTGTTTGGAGGAGGATGAAGACTCAATGAACCACTTAGTCTTCAATCTTATAACTCTTTTATTTTTTTCTTAATTTTTCTCTATTAATAGACTTGTAAGACCATAATTTTGGATTACTATATCTTAGCTTTACAACCATAATTTTGGTTGATATTTTTGTATGGTGATTAATTTAATTAATGTTAAATTTTAGTTCATATGCTAGGTACATGATTTTGGCCACTCTTGGATTTTTCATTAATTTGATTGTTCTTAAGTGTTTTAACGTAGATGATGCTTCATCATAATCTTGAAGAGTATTTATTGGGCTTTCTTGTGATCTACCATAATTTTGGGGATCATTTGAGTTGTAAAGGGCTGATCATGCTTGTTAGTATTTATCATTAATCACATAACTTGGGCTTAAAACTAAATTAGAGAATTGAATTGGGTTCTAGAATCCTAGGCTTAATTAGGGTCCTTGGTGAGGTCAAGTTGCTGAGAGCATTATCCTAGGGTTCTAGAAGAATTAAGAGTGGTTAATTCACATGTCATAAGTTGTTAGGATTTGAGCATTGATCCAATTCCAATTACCCTAATCCATCCCCTTTTCCCAAACTCAATAGCTTAGGTCTTTAAGCTTTAATTAGGTCAATTAGTGTTTTAATTTAATTCACTTAAAATCAATCAACTCTTGGGATTTTTTTATTTAATTTAATTGCATTAGAAAGCTTTAAAATTAATCTTTTAAACACATCTTGGGGAATCGACCTAAGTTGCCACTATACTATATAGTTAGTTAATCTAATTTAAATTGCTATGTGTGCGACTGCTTGGTTCAATTTTGCATTAAAATTTCACGTGAATGATACTAAGTCATTGCAGATATCAAATTTTGCATTAAAAATTCTTAGTTAAATTACTTAATTTGAAAATTCCTTTAAGTTGTGTTTGGATGGGTGAATTTGAGTTAGGTATTTAGATTTGAAATATCATATGTGAAATTTATAGATTCTAAATTCTTTATTTTGATGATATAAAAATTTCAAATTATAATATGAAAATCTTTTGTTAGGATATTAAATAAAATTTCAAATTTTAAATTCCATATTTAAATTTCAAAGCAACATGGAAAATGTCGGCATTGTGGTTCTAGTCAAATTAGTGGTCTAGATGGCTGACTTCTACTGGCACCAGATCACTAACACTTACTAAGATTGAATGGCAAACTTTTATTAGGACCATATACCGCCAGTAACAATTGAGATCGGACAGCTGACTTCTACTAAGACTAAACCATCAGCATCGACCGAGGCCCAACCACTTGCACTAATTAGGAGAGGACCGTTGACGCCTATTGGGACCAAAATGCGGGCGATGACCGGGGCTAAACGTCTGGAGGGATCAAATTGCCAAGGCTGACTAGTACTGGAGTGTAGGCAATGACCGGGACCGGACGACTGCTATCCATAGCACCAACAGATCCGTCTTCAGAGCCTTTGAACTCTATCTTGCAAAACAAGCACACACACAGTATTAATGGATCTATCTTCGGTGCTCATCACTCCTAGATTTTTTTCAATTTTAATTTTGACTTTGATTTTATATTTTATAAAAATAAAAATTTATAAATTTTTTTGATAAATATATTCATCATTAATCTAGACAGTAATGATTTAATATGGGTGATTGAATTTAGTTTAAATTTAAAGTTTTTATTTTTATTTATTAAAATAAAAAATTATTAAAAAATTTAATATTGAATCTTTATTGTCTACATTACATCTATATAATCAATTTATAAAAATTATAACATTAAATTAAACTATCCAAATTAAATCAATAATGTCTTGATGATGAATATATTTATAAAAAAATTTATAAATTTTTATTTTTTATAAAATATAAAATTAAAATTAGAAAAATCTGGGCCATCTTGATTTAATCTTTGGATGGCCCGTATCTATTTTGGGTGATGGGTATAGAAGACGAGCCCTAGCACTAACATATTTGTAATTGGCAAACCGCAAATGCATGACAATTCTCTCTCATGTTTTTACCTCCTAATGGATGGCATGGCTTCTTGGTTATTTGTCATCTCTATTTTAATTCTCCCCTTCCCTTTCTAGTTTCCCTTTTCCTTCACTTTTACATGCTTTGTGTCTCCCTTTCTCTCCAGGCAATGAGTTCCTCCTTTTTTCCCCTGCTCCTAAGGCTTCTGACTCCGCAGTTGAAGGGAATCTTCAGAATGAGAAATACAGAGCATGTGAGAGATGGACAAGCGAGACTAGTTAATGGTCACCAGACGCCAGCAATGATACATGGAAGTAGAGCCGATAATTCGGGCCAAGCCCGACAGGTTAGCCCGAATTGGCCCAAAAAATTTTAGGACCGGGCTTAGAAAAAAAAGTATTTTTTTATGTTCGAGCCTATTTAGGCCGGCCCGAATAGGCCAGAAAAAATTCGGGCCAAGCCCGATCGGGTTTGGGCTTGGCCCGAATACCCGAATAAAAAAATTATGTTTTTAAAAATATATATAATATAATAAATATTAATTAATTCTTTAAGTTTTAAATCATTTTATACTAAAATACCATATATTTGAGTCCTAGACATCATTTAAGTATTAAAAAAATATATTTTATATTTTTTATAAAATAAAATAATTAATTTCAAAGTAAAAAAAATAATTAAAAATAATTTTAAAAATTAAATTCGGGTATTCGGGCCGCCCGAGGCCCGAAGGAATTCGGGCCGGGCTTGGCTATTCGGGCTTTTCAAGAAAGCGGGCTTGTTCGGGTTCGAGCTTATCCCGGCCCGCCTAAATTCCCAGCTCTACATGGAAGGTTACACGTGCTTAATGTTTTAAGTTGCAATTGGCATGATGAAAGATTTTTTTTTGATAGAATTGAAATTAAAATCAAAATTAAAATAAAATTAAGTTTTAAAAATATCTTTAATATTAAAAATATAATTTTAATTAATATATATACTTAAAATAAAAAAAGATCAAATTACCCTTTTCTCTCAAAATTAAAAAAACCTCTCATGTCACAAGTAGACAAAAAAGATAAGGGTAGTGTGGTTTGCAAAATGAATTATAAAAATTAAAGTAATTTCATGATTAATACGATGGCATTAAATTTTAACATTTTTAATAAAATCATAATTCTTAATAATTGTAACTCTTTCATATCAAATATGTTTAAATTAATATTTTTTTTGATTTTATTTTCACTTTAACAATTTAATAATATCAAGCATGCCTTAATGGTTGATAAGTTTTTTTATCACTTTATAATATATACTTTAATTTTTTTAAAAAATAATTTATAATTAAATTTATATTTTTTTTATTAAAAAAACCATTACCCCTTTACTTATCTGAAACCAAAAATTGTCCCGGACTCTTGTTCACGAAGTTATGGAGTACGATTGTTTGGCAAAGGAGTGAATACGATTGGCGAAAAATGAAAGTGTGATGCTGTTCTCTGCTCTGTGCTGATTGTACTCGGCACTAGGCCCCTAGGCAACCTTTCCAAGTTCCAACGGCACTTTATTCAAAATAAACCCCTTTGGTCCTACAGTGCGTGCGTCGGCATGTATCTTTTTATATACATATCCGCTTTCACCGGCGAGCGGGAAGCGTCTGGGGATCATTTCATCTTTCTGTGTCAGCACTTGGGCTTGAGCCTTCGTTCAAGTTTGGCCGTTTGCCAATGATCAATCCCACGGAGTATGTGGCTCTTTCTGACTCAGTAGAGCGGCTCTTGGACAGTATATGCAGAGAGCAGAATCAGGCCCCTCCTAGCCCCCAAGTAAGACGCGAACTCGCGAGCGTCGGAGAGGAGTTGGCTCTTGATATTTTGACTCGAATTTCACTCACCAAGGTTCGGCATAGTCTCGCTTCGTTCATTATCTTCATGATTCGGTCTCCCAAGAAAGTCACTAGTCGCTCACCAAATGCTATTAGAGGCTTTGCTACCAATACGCTCTTGAACACCCAAGGTCGAAGCAGTACGTGTATTTATTTATTTTCCCTGTCTTTCATTTGGTTGACACGAAGGGAAATCAATCTCTCTCTCTCTCTCTAATTGTTAGAAGAAGACGAGAAAAAGGAAACATCTCTCAGATAACAGGGCTGGCCCTTTCCTTCGGCACTCTGGCTGAACAGTGATGATTCCATCTCCGGATTTCTTCTTCTTTTTTCTTTACTTATTTTGGTGTTCGTGGCTGATTATTACGATTTTATACAATTTTCTGTCTGAGCAAATTGAGTGAAGAAGTTGGTTTGGTTTCATTTTGTTCATATTCTATTTACTTTCCTCTGATTAAGGAGTGGGTATGACTTGTCGGTGCATGTTGGGCTACTTACAAGCTTTGGTTTAATTTTGTTCATTTTTAATTTTTTTGAAATTTGAAATTACAGCTAACGGAGCTGCTACCCCGACTCCCATGGAAGAGCATCCAGGAAGTACCTCACCAGCAATGAGTCCAGAATTGGTGGCCCTGGGAGAATTGGAATTCAGAAAGGCATTCCTGCTGTTAAGCTATATTGGAGAGTGAGTGTGGAATGCATTTTATTTCACGTTGTTTCTCTTTCCAGAATTGTAACTGTCATGCTTTGAGGATTAAAGTTTCTTTTCTATTTGTATTTGTAGAGAGAGTCTTGAACGGGCCATAACGGCGGACAAGATTAGGAGTCTTAAAATGTTGCCAATGTGTAAGTTTGAGGAAGAAATATGGCAAGCCGCGGGCAGAAGATATATCTCCCCTAACGATCGACGATTGGTGAACATCCCGTCTGATTTATCTCTTGTGACATTAATTCGATAACTTACTACTTTACTTCCTTTTGATCTGATGTCCGAACGCCTCCTTAAAAAGAGGGAATGGTTGACTCCCTCTCTCCCTTTGGACCAAAACTATTTCAATTATGCGTTGAGATATTAAATTGACATCTTCCAGCGGCTTTTTCTTTTTTTCTTTTTTCTTTTTGGAAATTGAAAATTCCACAATTATGGCAGCCATGAAAGTTTGCCGGTGCTATAAAACTCTGGAGGTTTTAATTTGTTCTATTATCCTGTTATTTTTTTATTTTACCATTCAACCGTGCCTTAAAATAAAGCTAAATTTATTGAATTTGTCACGTGAATGAATTTAATAAAGTTCTTAACTGTCCTGTTAAGTCATCAACTCTAGCGACTTGGAACTTCTTCATCCAACCTCTGCTGTATTATTCTGTAAAAATATCTGCTTGTTTGCCATTGATAACTTTGGTATATGCAGTATCATGGTTGGGATTCAGGGAAGCCGTATGTCTATCACTGTCATATATCTCAACGTGGGAGTTTAAAGTTCAAGGTCTGCTCTACTTTAGTATACTTTCAGTGACAACTTTTAACAAGCTAAGCTCTAGAACACATACACATTATTTTCAGTGACAACTTTCAGTGCAAATCCTTATTTTCTGGACATACTTCCATGGGTGCCATGGAAGTTCTTTGTGACATCTTTTCCACTAATAAAATAACAACTACATTCCTATACCAGTTGACACTTGACGATAATTCAATGGTATTTGGACCATTTGTAAATTCATAAAATATATTAATTTTCAGTCCCTTTGGCTGGTAATTCAGGGCCCCTTGTTCCAAGAAGCTAGAACACATTTACAAAAATCACTTGGTGATGATAATGTGATTGTTGTAAACTTTGCTGAGGAAAGGAATGGGTACTGTCGGACTAGTGTTGAGGAAGCATATGCTCTCTACAATAAATTTGGAAGAGAGGGAATTTGTGTTGGTCTTCGCCTCTACCGGTTTTTTGGTAACCTGTAAACCTGTTCTTATGAAATGTTATATCCTTGAAATTTTATGCTTGTACTTGTTAATGCTTATTGACTGCATCTGTATGAGTCTGCCTGATCGCTTGTTTCTGTTTTTGTCAGACTGTTGATATGTCTAACTTCCTGCACTTATTACTACAGTTAATGTAATTGACACTTGGTTTCATTGGTGTTTTCTCGTTAACTTTGTGCCTCTATGGTGGAATGCTTTCATTGATAATGAAAAATTGGGGTATTTGTGTAATTGAATACCTGATTTTTTTTTCCAGTTTTAGAATCTTTTTATTCATCTTTTGCACAGCTCATGCTTTGTTGATGCTGTTGTGCACAAAACATTCTTTAATCTTTGACATTTGATTTGTATCTGATGCTGCCTTTAGAGTTTTTTTAGACTGACCTATGGGAACCAATATGCATGCATTGATGAGCATAAACTTCTTATCAATTGATCAGTTTTTAAAGATGGCGGAAAGGAAGAGAAAAAGAAGGACCCAACATCATCAAGCGTGAAATGTTATTTTGTTAGGACAGAATCTTGTGCATCAGTTGATAAGAAGGATCCTTACAAATTATCTGGCAAGTCAATGCTTGAAGCTCGATCTTTATTTATGCAGGCTCACACATTACCCAGTTTAGACAAGTTTATGGCTAGGTATGGTACTTTGTAGCTGCTGTTTTTAGTTTTATATCTTATGTACTTCCTTCCTCCTACATAAAAAACAGTGGATCCAAGTTACTGACATCAAGTATTTAGGTTTTCTCTAATTTTGTCCAAAACCTTTACACTTGATATTGACATGGGATCCTTGGATGTTCAAACAATTGAAGATGTGTGTTGTCAGGTATGATCAACTATTTTGTCATCTCTATATGGATGACAAATATTTGTATCTGAGAAAATTATTTGAGTTTTGTTTTCATTTCCTTGTAGGATGAAAATGGTGACATTGTTTATCACAATGGGAAAGAACAGATTCATACTGATGGAACTGGATTCATTTCTAAAGATTTAGCTGTGCTTTGCCCTAGAAATGTGTCCAAAGGAATTCATACGAAGGATAAAAATTTCAGGGTATCTCTGTTTTAATACCTAAATTTGCATACTTTATTTAATCACATTGTTTTTCTTCTATTATTTTGTATTAAATATCCATTAACTGTTAAGGTTTTATAACAATATCCATTATTGTTTTTCTTTTTATCATCGTTATCCATGTGCCTTCTTGTCACAATCGCTTTGTGATATGGAGCAACAAAGTTATTATAGGAATATATCATGTGAGTACTTGGCATAATCTTAGTATAGGTTATTCATCAAGGTGTCTTTTTTTCTCAGAATCATTTTGTTGATATATATATATATATATTAATAAAATATACTTCTTGAAGGAAAAAACTTCAATATAACTATATGCTATTTTATTTTTGCCTTTTTCTTGAAATTTTGGTTAGCCATGAGGCTGATGGAAAATGATTGCAAACCTTGTATGAATGTATGCTAACATGAAAAATCATTCATGTCTCAACATCCTACATTGCTGTCGTCTGGAAGAGAAGTTTTGATAAATCTGATATTTATGTTTCTTCCTGTTCTCTTCAAGTTGTATTATTTAACGATCAAAAGTTTGGAAAGGTAATGTTATTTAAGATGATTGGAATTGCAAACTCTATCAAAAATTGACATGTATGTGTGCAAGACTAATAAATTATGTGATATTATTACCCACCATCTTGTTTTTTTTTTTTTGGCCAAATACCCACCATGTTGTTAGGTAATGTTATTTAAGATGATTGGAATTGCAAACTCTATCAAAAATTGACATGTATGTGTGCAAGACTAATAAATTATGTGATATTATTACGCACCATCTTGTTTTTCTTTTTTTTTTTTTGGGCCAAATACCCACCATCTTGTTAGATGCATGTCTTTGTGTTCTAATTTTCTCTCTGTTTATTGTTTTGTCAACATATATTATTTTACAATGGAGCGAGCAAGTAACTGTTATATAGGCCGAATGCCTCATTATTTTAGATAATGTCCCTACTTCAATGCTTTGTTTTTTCAAGCGTTGGAAGTTTAAATCTGCTATTGTTTTCTCTGTCATTGCTTGGACCCTTCGTGCTGCAATTAACACCTCCAAGTGCCCAATGGTCTAATGCTACTTTTTTCTTGTCTTCTCCGTCACATGGTTCTTTATATTTTGTCTTATATGTCACACTCTTCCTTACCAAAACTTAAAATGATAGGGAATTTCTAATTTGGTTGAATAGGATAATACAACTATGGCTTTTGCAAATGTGGAATCCAGCACATTTGAGCCAGTATGTTCCTTACTTTTCTGCAAAATTTTTAGACTACTGATGTGCATTGTATGGATTTTATTCTGATACTTTTTCCTTCCTGACTAAGCCTTTGCTGATCCAATGCCGTCTATTTCACATCGGACGTGCCATGAAGGGCACACTTCTAATCAACGAAAAGGTACATATTCATTTCTTCATTTTTGTGTGGAAATATGATCGCCTTAATTGTAGTACTTGATCATGTACTCATGCATTTTGGAGCATACAAATGAACTCCTTCTAGTTTTAGTTCCTATTTTGATGAATTCATGGCTCATAATCTTGTTTCAAAATGGTTTCACGTGAATTTATATCTGCATCAATTATTCTGCTGGTAGTAAGAGGTTCTTTTATTATTAATTCTTGTAGCTTCCTCCTCAGACGATACAAGTTCGACCATCAATGATTAAGGTTCATGCAGATCCAAATTTTCTTGTGCAAAGTATAAATTCGATGGAGGTAGTAGGTACAAGGTATCTCCTTTACATAGTTTTCCTACCAAGTTGGCAATTGCTTGTTTCTGCTGAAACTTTGTTACTTGAAGCAGTCATGACTTATTTGTAGTTTGGATATGGATCTTAATTCATGTCATAAATGATAATTTTTTAGTTGTAAATGGTTGTTGTCTGGTTGTCAATGCCTTTAGTCAAGTTGCCAATAAGCAGGATTTGAGATTTGGAAGTATTTTGTGAAATTCATGAGACCTCTCAATAATAAACTTCATTTTGTGGGATCTAAATGGTTGTTGTTTGTTTGTTAACTTTGTTGTAATGTTGTGTTTGGCTGGTCTATGTGTAAGTTTCCTATTGCATGCACTCCCATGTAAAAAAAGGCCTATTGTCTAGTGCTAGAATGAATAAAATCTGCTTTGCTTTAGTTCTTTATTTTCCTTCTAGTCCAGTCCACGATAAGACATATTTGACTACATAGAATCGAACTTTCCCACCCTCCTAATAGTGTGAGGTGATATCAAACCCTTGGTTGGGAAAGGAGAGCTTTACGAACCAATCAAACGAAAGATAAAGATAAGCGTAAGCCTGATGTGATGGTCAAATTCTTCCTTTTCATTAGAAAGTGCCTTACCAGGTCAACTCTTCTCTTCCTTACAATGATGAAGGGACTAAAGAAGCAAGGAGCAAGAAAACAGATGTGCGAGCAAGCAATCAAACTCCTGTACGTTGGACACACGCATCCATTTTCTTGCTTGCTTGCTCAGTGCTTGTTCCTTAGACGAGTAAGGGCAGCAAAGCAAGAAAAAAGAAAGCCTAAAGCTTAGCTCTTTCATTACTGTACCGATAGGGAGAGGAAGAAAAGTCCCCACACTCTTCTCTTCCTTTCAGTCGAGTATTGCCTTTCTCTATGCTAGATTAGGCTTCACACACACTTGCTTTGGTTGGTTTCTTAGTGAAAAAATCTATCTTTTTGGGCAATAGCTCTAGTTTCCTAGTGTGAGTGTTTACTATCGAGAAATCCTTTTTTAGTATGAGAGGTTTAGCATCTTGAAAGTTGAGCGAGTCCACAACATTTATATGAAATTGCAAAACGAACCAAAGAAATAGGTCCATAAGCCGATGAGTTGACCTCAATAGACTTAGAACAAGACTAAGTCTTGCTTCAGGTGTCGAACTAGCCATACGTGCTGACCATACAAGGGATATCCTCTTTTTTCATAACAAGATTATCCAGTTGCATATATACTTTCATTGTTAGGAGCATATCTCCGGGCGATAACAGGTTTAGAGAGAAGTGGGATGGCACCAAGCACAACACGAGCCGAGTGGGCCTTGAATGAATCAATAAATTATGATCAATTTCCAAATCTAGAATGGGCTCAGGATTTCCAGTACTTTTCATCCTGAATGGGCTTTGAAAGCGCTCATATACTTGTCTGTTTTAGCTATTGCAGGATTGTTTAATCTTCTTGTTATCCATTCTTCTATCTATTAAGGTTTTTAGTTCTGTCAAAGAAAAGGAGCCAAAAGGACATGGTCTTAAGCTTATCTTGCCTGACTAATTTCTCTTAAGTTTTAAACCGTTAGGAGCTGTGCTCAAGCTATTGTGTTATGCTAATGTTCTAGGTTTCTTAGTAAAGAAAATTCTCTACTTTTGAAAGAAACTGTTATGTCTAATCTTAAGCCTTCAATTTCAGCAACAAACCACAGAGGTGTTATTTGTCCCGAAATCTGATTGCACTTCTAAGCTATGGAGGAGTACCAAATGAGTTTTTTATGGGTTTACTCAAGAGTGCTTTGGAAGATGCATATTGTGTCTTCACTAACAAGCGAGCTGCATTCAGAGGTAATCCTCATAGGTTCCTGCAGCTAATGCTACTTGATTTCTCTTAGAACTATTAAATTCTGACTTATTTGAATATTGAGCTATGATCTGTATGATTTTTGGAAGTCTCCAGAAAATTTATTGAATTAATCAGTTTTGTGCAGTATCTTTAAAGCATGGTGAAATGGATGATGATTTCAATTCAATGAAAATGATTTTATCTGGCATCCCTCTCGATGAGGCTTATTTGCAGTATCGTCTATCTGTACTTGCAAAGGAGGAAATAAATGGTCTTAAAAAGGGGAGGCTTTATATACCTGAATGTTACTATCTAATGGGCACTGCTGATCCCACTGGATGCCTTAAAAAGGATCAAGTTTGTATTATTCTGTAAGCATAATTCTCTTCTGTTTCCTAATTTATCTATCAGTAAAAAGCATAGCTCTATTATGTTTAGGCATCGATTTTTTTCCCCTCTCCATTTTATGTTCAGGTGTTGATTTTTTTTTTTTTAATTTACTATGCAGCTGATAAATTCTTTGTAGTTCCTCATTATATTTTTGGTCACTATCTAATTTCAATAGTCAAGGGAAATACTCTATCAAACTTGATCTTGGCTAAAAAGTGGCAAGTTATTGCTATCCACATTTATTTTACCCTTGCCCGTGGGGATTGTGATACATATGTAGCAATATATTTGATAGCAGATGCCCCTTTACTCAGTCTCCAGCATTTGTCTGATTCTGACACTTCCTTTAGATGCTATCATGGTTCTGTTAAAATTTGTTTGCTTGGATAAATGGTGGTGCAGTGGAGTTGTATTTGACTTAACATGGATAAAAAAGTTACGATAGGAGACCACCCCATCATTTGGGAATTGGTTTTGTTTGAATTTGGATTAGTTGGTGGTATTTAGTACTGGATGGTTGTATCAAAAGAAGTTTGTTTTCCTTCTCGCATGCTCATGTCTTGTCTAATATGGTGCTTTGTGCTATAAATTTTTACCCTGCACATTCAATCACGTTCATGTATTCTTTGCTTGTTGGATTTTACTCATTTGATCATTTCTTGTATGATAGTTATTTTTATATTATTATGACTCTTTTTTTTTTAATAATAGTGAAAATGGTCAAATTTCTGGAGATGTATTGGTATATCGGAATCCTGGATTACATTTTGGGGACATTCACATTCTCGAAGCGACATACGTGAAGGAGTTAGAATCTTTTGTTGGCCATAGCAAATATGCAATATTCTTCCCTTGTGTTGGTCCTCGCTCTTTGGCAGATGAGATAGCTGGAGGAGATTTTGACGGTGACATGTACTGGGTGTCAAAGAATGCTGAGGTCTCATCTTTTGTTTACTAGATCTGTAAACAGTATTCTAGGAATTTTCTCTTGATATTTTAGATAGTTTATTGTTTGCTGCAACTGTTATCTGCTCATTTTTCTTAACCATGTTTTTAAAGGGAATTTGTTATGAAACTTTTGTTTGGCTAATAATAAAATCAGAATATTCTACTCTAGTGTTTAAACTTTTCTACGTAAATTTTTTTAGGTTAGAATGAATTGATGACATTCCATAATTGGTTCTACTACCAAAGCAGGCTTAACCAAGTATTGAATTCATAGTATTGTTGCAGCATTTTTCCTGGACCTCTCTTTGTTTATATTTGAAGAGCAATGCCAAATTATTAATAATCAGATTGTTGTGTTTGATCTATTTCATGATTAGGTGGTCTGCCTTAAGTTTGATGATATGATATGCCTATGGTTAACTATCATTTTCATAGAAGGCTTGTGAAATTGTTGATTTCAGATCACATGAAAGCAAGACATAATTGAAGTGTCAATTTTAGGAACTGAAACTTCGTTATGCTTGATTTGTCAGATGTGGGATCGGAAAAGTATTTGCTCTTTGGTAAAATAATAAAGGGAACGTTGATGCATGAAAATTCAGTTTAGGAAGCTGTGTTTGTGGTAGAAGCTCTTTAAAAGAGGAATTGTTGGGTTGTTTGGATGGAAAAAGGAACTGGAAATTGGTGAAGTGGAGACTATATTGGTATCATTGAAATGTTTGGAAACCCTGATAGTAAAAAAAGAACAAGCGAGGATCATCTAATTTTGGCTTAAAGTTTTATTCTGCCATTTCAAGGAGTAAAATCTGGAATTACTTAATCTGTAAACCCTATATCTGATTGTCAACAACTTTAAAGGAACATTTATATCAGAGAGATAAGCTTGTTTTGCCTTCTACAGAACAGCTTTGGCTTCTAATTTTCATGGTAGCTGTTGATATCAAAATTAAAAATCCTTATTTTGCTATTTGTCAGCCAGTATGATCAATTTTTAAGGTGATGGGTTTGACGATAGTTTTGGGCCTGGAATTCCAGCCAAAATTTACAGAAGGAAGAAAAAGACAAATAAGAGGGATTAGTTGGGCAGGACCTGCCGGGGGGGGGGGGTTGTAATGAACTCTGACATATTGTGGGTGTGGGGGGGGGGTTGTAATGAACTCTGACATATAGTGGGTGTGGGGGTGGTGAATGGTGACATGGACAGATTGTGAAGAGAGTGCTGGCTCCTCAAATGTACTAGTGTAGGATTGAGGCCTGTGAGGTTTCTTTGTGTCTTGCATCTTTTGTTATTCTGTTTTCTGGTTTGTTAGGCGGCTAGGCTTTGTTGTTAATTGTTTGGACCATTCAATCTCCAACCAAGGTGGTTTCGTTTAACTATTAATTTTGTCCTTGTTTTCTGCTATCGCAGCTGAGAATAATACAGTATCTAAGTTTCCGTCTGTGAGAACTTTTTCCCTAGGCTTGGTTTCCATTGCGTTTAAATTTCTTCATATTTTGAAGATGCTGTCTCATCATCCACGCATTTTATCTTCATCCTAGTGCTGGTTTCTCTATGTTTTACAACAACATATTTTACTTCCATAGTTCCTTTTATTTTATATTGGTCGTCCTTGTAGCTGCTTCTATGCTGTGGTATTGACTATCATGTCCTAAATTGGAATTCCTTAAAGCTTACGAATTTAGAAAGGGTTGCCAAAGCGTTAGATTTGTGCATAACTTGATTTACTGAGATTGAAGTTTTTTTCTCGAATGTGTGCAAAACTGTGGTCTTGAAATCAGAATATCTGTCTTTTATGAAGTTCAAAGTGGATTGTAGTTATATGCATCATCGTTGTCATCCTCATATTTTGCTGAGGTAGCTGGTAGTACTTAACAGCTTTCTTTATATTGATCATTTGTGTTTTGAATGTTTCAGTTGTTGAAGTATTTTAAAAAGAGTGAACCATGGATTGAAAATCCTCCTTGCGATGATGTCATCGCTTCTAAACAGCCAAGTACACTTTCAGATGATGAACTCCAGGATGAACTTTTCAAGTTGTTCTTGAGAAGTCGGTTTCAACCAAGGTATGATGGTGACTAAATATTGATACTTCTAACATCTTTACATCCAAAAGTGAATGATTATGCAGGCATAAATCCTGTTTGGCGTTTATTATGTTGTGTCAGCTATATTACATATCATTCTTGATATACATATATTTTTTTTCTTCTGAAATTTTTCTTAGAGCGTCTGTCTCAGGGACGTTCAAAACTAAACTAACCTGAGTTGATCGAACCCAAACTTAACTATACCATAAAATGTGAAAACTTAACTATACCATACAATCAGATTGTTCAATTTTGTTTTTGTTTTATGTTAGATTGTTTTGATTTAAACACATCAAACCAAATGAACTCCATAAATGTACATGCACGGTATTGCATAATTTATGCCCAAATTCACACCCTGTTTAATTTTGTCAATTATGAGGCTCAATGAAGCACTGTTATCCTTGAGCACCTTAGACCCTCAGCGTACTTTTATTATAATCTGTATTCTTGAAACTTTGCATTTGGGAAATTAGTGATAAGATTTTAAAATAATTTTCTATAATCTATCATGATAATAAAGATTACATGTAGTCTTTGTTTATTTATTTATTTATTTATTTTTTCCAAGGAAAATAATGAATTCTTAATTTTTAAAAGCGGGCAAAGATTCAAAGCTAATCAGTAATTACAATATTAACTTTTTCTTTCTCAGATAACCCAATTAACATCCAAACTGATACAATTTGAATCGAAGCAACTATGGGTAAAAGCGAACATGTTCACATCTTAGTGAAACCGGTTTATTCAAATTGGATCAAATTGTACTTATGAAAACCCTTAGCTTGTGTTGTGTCTTCATTGTTGAAACAATGACAAATTCCATTTTTGACATTCTTACATGTTAACGTCCTTTGAATCTTCATTTCGCTGCTGGATCTCAAACTATGGTGGCACAATTATTTATCCACAGAATCTGTTTTGCTTACAATTATTTATTTATTGGTAGTCTTAAGTACCTGATATACGAATTCGGATGAGAATCTTAGATTTAATCTAATGTTGGGATAATGTAGTATTCGGCTTTTATTTCTTTCATTCTTTGTTTTCTTTTCCTTTTTTGGTTGCCAAAGTAAACTGGCTTATAGATACTATGTGGCTGCTTTTTTCAGTTATGCAATGGGTGTTGCAGCTGAATGTTGGAATGCCTTTATGGATCGGCTGCTGACATTGAGGGATGACTGTCCTATAGAAAAGCAAGAGAAAGAACGTGTCAAGGAAAATATGATTAAATTGATTGATCTGTATTACTATGCTCTGGACGCACCAAAGAAAGGCGGAAAGAAGGTTAGTTCTGTCTTATTTTCCTTATTATATTCTGCCTCAATGGTTGGAATAAAAAAATTTGATATTTTTCATATTGTGAGGCTAATCTCATATTATCATGATATTTTTCCATGGAACATGTTTAAAAATGTGATCTCTAAGTCACTAGCAGTTGGCTTATGAATATCATTCTATTTTTTTTTTTTTTTAGTGAAGCCCATTTATGTAGCTAAGTTAAATTATTGTCAGCATTCATCACCTTTGAATAACCCTTATATATGAGGGTCCTGTATCTATTAAACATTTGAGGATAGGAGGTTTTGACCTTCTGGAATACTGGAACCTGGCTCCTGTGGATTCCAGCTATTTGGGAATATTGTCTATCTACACACTTACTCTTGAGAATGCATACATAAATATTTATCTTGACATTGTCTTACTTTGTTTGGTGTCCATGAGTAGAAGGTATTAGAAAACGTATACTTGAGAATGCATGCTTAATCTTTAGTATCCCAACACAAGGAGTACTCCTATCATCAACTTATAGTGATTATCTTGTTTTATGATTTTTTTTTTATCTGAAGACAGAAAAGATAATTCACATATATAAAAGCATTTTTTTATTCTATTCTACATGTAATTTTATGTACCAAAGAGGAAAGCATTTAATTTGTAGTAGGTGAAACTTTTATTATCACTTGGGATCATGTAACTTTGAGTACGTCCAAGGCTAAATTGTCATGATAAGGTCTTGTTGACCTTCTGGGAAACACTTGTCTGTCCTACTATTTTCTAAGGGTGTTCACAGGACGGGATGGGACCGGAACACCCCTGTCCCGTGTCCCTTGCCGAAAAAAGATCGGGACTAAATTTTGGTCCCGTGTCCCATCCCGTCCTGTTAGGAGTCGGGACGGGATTAGGACAAGATTAGGATGTCTCGCCATCCCAAAAAATGGGATAATATCGAAGAAAGATATAGAAAATAACATTCATTAAAATTTAAATCATATAATTTATTAAGTTTAAAATCAAAACAACACAAGTACATAAATCGCAACAATTTAAAGTCAATTATTGAATTATATTAATCATAACTACACATTATAATAGCATATACAAGTGATCTTTTTTTTTTTTAATTGAAGGCCACGGGTAAACTGTGCTGATTGACAAGATAAGTCATGTCAGCGTACAAGATATTACAACAATTAGGCGGCGGGATATTGAAGATACGAATACATAAAAAATACAAGTGATCTTTATGCTATAAGAGTAGCAACAACAGGCAAATCAAGTACAACATCAAATCATTGTTTTTCTACTTTAGTGGAGATGTACTAAGCTAATTACTCTTCTGAAAATAAACCAAAAAATACGTTATAAATAAAAGTTATTGAATAGATAGATATAAGAATAAATTATATTAATATAATTAATATATTATAAAGAAAGATATCGCCATGTTTACTTCATGTCATTAAAATTATTAATATAAAAAAACTTTAGTTTTAAATAAGAATTGCAAGTATTGAAATTATAATTGATATAATTAATATATTTAAAATAAAAAATAATATATATAATATTCGGGATGGGAAGGGATGTCCCGATGGTAATCTCGTATCCCGTCCTGTCCTGAACCCTTTTCCTGTCCCGTTCTGTAAAGTCCTGTCCCGATTATTTTCGAGCAGGACATCTCAATGGTAATCTAGTATCCCGTCCCGTCCCGATTATTTTCGGGCGGGGACATGACTACGTCCCAATATGATCGGGACGATACTGAGCCAATCGGGATGGGGTCCAGGCTGAACACCCCTACTATTTTCTTCTGTTTCATGATCTTTACAAGTGTTGTTTGAAAGAAGTGCTAATTTTCTGTCTCATGCTTGACAACAGGTAGAAGTTCCAAAAGATTTGAGGGCGGAGATTTACCCTCACTACATGGAAAAGGATAGTTCATATACTTCTACTTCTATCCTCGGTTTAATTTATGATGAAGTGAACAAATGTCAATATGAAGACGTGAAGGGTGAGAATTCCAAATAGAATTAACCCCACCCAAAGGGGGGGGAGGACTTTAATCTGTTATATGTATTCATCACACCTGTTGTTTGCATGCTACCAGATATTACTAAACTCCCCATTTTGGATGCTGAAATACCTGAGAGCTGTCTGAACATGTGGAGATCATACTATGGCCAGTATAGGAGCGAAATGACTGCTGCGTTAAATGGTTCTGACTCCACAGGCCAAAGCAAGGCTGCTATCTACAATAAATATAGAGAGGTATAGGTTTCAAGGGTTTTCTTCATTTGCTGACTCTACACTTGTCTCGGAAAATCTCATGTTTTTTCTTTATTTGCTGACCGTGCTGTGGCATGCAGATATTGTATGGTGCTTCTGAGCCGAACAAGAGTCGTAAGAGTATGGAGCAAGTCTACAATGAGGCTTTGGCTGTGTATCACGTTGCTTATGACTATGCCAAGAGTATAGAATCAGTAAGCAAGTGTGGCTTTGTGTGGAAGGTTGCGGGTCCAGTTCTCCTCCAGCATTATGCCTCTAAGCAAGATATATCGGCTCTGATGCGAGAGATCTTTGGGTGGTGAAGGATTCATTGCATTCATATCCTAACTATCATTATTTTGTGTCCTAGCTTACTGCATTCACCTTATCTTTTGTTCAGAGACCTTGCTACATTTTAATGACTTGTCACCATAGAGTCGTATATAAACTTGTTAATTGTGTTCAGAGACAAGCTACATCTTGCTGTTGTTTGGATATCTTTGTTTTAGCATTAATTAAAGTAAAATCTAGGCTAAATAACCATAAATCAACTGTTCTGTAAATTATGTTGTTATTGACAATTTATCTCTCGTCAGAAGACTTAAGGATGGTCATGGTAGTTACAAATCCATTATAGTGGACAATTTATGTGGTCAATATTATTGCGTTTGGAGGGTAAGTATACTGCATTGAAAGATAAAAATACACGATACAACTGGAAGACTGAATGAGAAGTGGGGAGTGAGGAGATGGTATTGTCAAGTAATTTAGTGTAGGGTGAAATGTCAATAGAATTGAACAGTGAATGTTCATATCCTATAACGAGTGATATGATCTTTGATATTATCAGCCTAATCTACTCCTTGTGCTGTAGCTACTGAACTAAGTCTTAGCTTATAATGCTAATGCTCCTAGTACAAAGTACTTGTTGGGAGAAAATCAGTTATCAGCCACTTTTCCTAAGACAAAACTCCAGCCTGCAGAGCTCAAATGACAACACAAGCTTACTGTTTCTTCAGCTTCTCCTTATTAGTACCAGCATTTGAACTCTTGAAACTCAACGTAACACTTTTTTCAGCTCACCATAAAGGCCAAAGATGCTAGCATTTAAGCTTACTGTTTCTTATATATGCTTAAATCAGCATGAGTGTCCTTGTACCGCTGGCTAACGTAATCCTTGCATAAAATGGGAGGGAACCTGGCAAGAAAATATATGCAGTATTGTGAGACTGGAAGGTGCCGCCACTTTGCATAGCTCACTTCGGTTCCATTTTGCATATTAGTGTTTTGCTTTTTGGGAGAATGACAATAAAATTTTAAAAGAGGAAATTAATAACAAATAGATTCCCAATAAAATATTTTTAAAAAATAAGCCACAAATCTTAATTTAAGACAAATAAAAACAGGAATTTCTATTGCAAGTTGAAAGTTACAGTTAGAATTTAAATGTCTTATTTAGAATTAGAATTCTTAGATTTATAATTATTTAAATATATATTTGCAATATTTTGAAGAAAATTTTGTTAGGATTTAACTATCATTAATTTCTGTTTTTAAAACTTGGTTATCATCCTCGCTTCTTTTTCCCCCTTTGGAGAATCCCTTTATAGATTTTGATCTTGTGTCTGGCTTCTGCTGTCGAATTTGTCCACACACACACACACAACATTTGGGTTAATATGTCTTACCTTGTAACTTGCATATCTTGTTATTTAAACGTCCAAAACATTCCTAAATCTTGAGTTTTGGCCGTCGAATAAACTTCCTAACTTACAATAATACTGGGAAATTTGGTTGAAATTCCAACTTACTTGGAAGGGTTACTTTCTGATTTGCAAGTTGGCAAGCACTCTACTAGACAATCATGACTCGGCTCCAAAAAGTAAGCCATCTGCACAAAGAAAACAATTAGTGAGATAATAAAGGACTTGTTTGAAACCTGTTATGAAAATAGTTTTTTATTCTCCAAAATAAGAGAACAAAAAAATCTGTTTGGTAACGTATTTTTAAAAAGTATTTTGAAGAACAAAAAAATAAAATATTGTTCTAAAAAACAGAAAAATAAAAATAACTTTTAAGTGTTCTATAATTATTGTTCTAAAAAATAAGGAAAAATGAAAAAAACACCTATTTTTATTTTTTGTTTTTTTTGTTCTTAGAACATATTCTACAAAACACCAATTTTCAGAATAATAAAATAAAAACAGTTTCAAACAGTCCCAAAGTTTCGTGCTTTTCTTTACATGCTAATTGACAAATTAGATAAAAAAAGATTCATAACCAAGGAAACTATAAATTCTAAAGGTAAGGCCACTTATTGCTGATAAGGAATTCAACCGAAAAATAACATTTGATGGCCTATTCGAATTATAAGGAGTCGAAGCTCTAATCAAAAAGATGAAGCAGCCAATTGAGACTCAATCTTTAAGCCCCTTTTTAGATTTTGAAATTTTAGGAGTAAGAATGAGAATTAAATTTGATAGAACAAGATATAAATATCTAGTAGGTAGGTGATTAAAAAAATGTTTTTATCACAAATAACATGAAAATATGAAAATTATTTCTTACTTTTAGGATTAAGTAATTTTTGAAATACAAACAATTTATCGTAATGAATTGTGTAAAAATATAGAAACGTATTTTTGTAACTTTTCTTGTCAAACATTAAAATACATTAAAATATTTTTTTAATGTTGTAGAATATCAATATGATGGCAAAAAATATTTTAAATTATTAATTCAATTTTTATTTTTTATTTTTATTTTTGTTAAGACAAATTTGATACACTTACTATTTGAGGAGTTGCATTCCATCACATTTACTATTTGGAATGAAAAAAGTAACTATTGGGAACTGAGATTGGAGTAGTTTTGAATACCCACAACCTAAGTTAGTGTTTTGGATTGATATATTTAGATTTAAAATTTGGATATAAAATCCCACATTTCAAATCTATTTAAAATTCTTTGTTTAAGTGATTTAAATAATAAAAAATTATTATTATTAGATAGTGTTTAGAAATAACAAAGGGTTTAAAAAAGATTTCAAATTATGAAGGAATTTTAATTTGGATTTTGATCAAATCCAAATTCAAAAATTTTTAAGCACCCAAATAGGAAATTAGGCTTAAATTCAAATCTATATGTATCCAAACATAGTATAAGAATGAAATTATCATGGAATCTCGTTCCCACTTCTCTTCGAACAGTACAAATTCCACCAACCAAAATGCACAAGGAATAGGCATTTTAAATAAGGCAATATCATGGCTTAGTAATAAAGTTAAAAAACAGAAAGCCAAGATACAATAAGCTGTAACTTAAGACTATGAAGATTTGGAGCTTACAGAGTATCTTTCTTGACCATTTCCTAGAACTCTGTGCAATGTGGACCTGAGCAGAAACAAAGCAAATTGTTGACCTTGCACTTGACAAAGTTCAATGCAAAAGGATTTTTCTAATAAGAGCCTTAAGCAAATGAATGAATATAGCAACATGCCAATATCAGTGATATATGTAAATATATATATATATATATATATAGACAAAAGATACCAAATCAAATACTTCCTCTGTTAAACAATATAAAGTATTTTTAATGTTTCAAAGTGTGATTATAATTTTTTTTCAAAAGTGCTCCTTATGAATAAATCACTTTATATTTATTTTAGAATGGAACAAACCATTAAATAAGTGAAAATATAGAAAGAAGATATTAGTTTAAAAACAAATAACTATTTTATTAGGGAATAAAATTTGATAAAAATATCTTATATTTTTTAAAGGAGAGAGTATATCATTGTGATCTTTTTGAGTTTATCTATCAACTCAATACATTGAGTCCAACATTTTCATTCCAATATGTACAGAAAGACACTCATAATGACATATACAACTCCTCTGTTGAAACTTATATTTTCCTGCCAGCAGTTAAAGGAGGACGCATGGTATAGCATGCAGTTTCTGTTGATTCATTAAGAGATACTCCCTCCGTTCAAAAATGCAAAACATTTTTAATTCAATCTCACCCTTCAATAAAGTTATTATCTACTTTTAAACTAACTCTATCTTTTTTTATTTACCCCTATTAAATACCCTATAATAAATATAAAGTCATTATCAATAAGGGCACTTTTGAAAAAAAAAAAATGATTACACCTTGAAAAAAATAAAAATACCTTATATTTTTGAACATTCAACTCCTCAAAAAATGTTTTACATTTTTAAACGGAAGAAGTAAATCTATAATCTAATTGTAGTAATTTTTCATGGCAATAAGTGCAGCTTTTGTATATTATCACAGAGACAATAAAATAATATCCCATGCATGCTGATAGCCTAGAACGGTTCAATACTGTCATGTTTCCTCTTTGTCTTGACTAAAAAGAACCCAGGCCATTTCAAGCTAGCACCAGAGAAGAAATAAATTCATTGTAAAATTTAGAGCTTGAAAAATAATACTTGCACCATATTAGTAATGCATGATACCAACCAGTAGGCCAGAAAATCACACATATCAAACTTTCACGGAAATGCAAGCACAGATAAAAGTTTCAGGGCAGTACTGAAAGTCCCTTCAAGTTCAAGGTCAAAAGTATATCCAACTTGGGTAGAGTTCAGGCATATAACTAGCACTAGGAAAGTTTCTTACTTGAAAATACAGTTGCTCCAACGCTCCAGCATGTCTCCAAGATTCACTATAAATGCCCTGGCAATAACAACCACATCAAACAATTATTCTTTCGGTTTGAGGAATTGGGGAAAACAAAGGGACAGTCAATTTGCCTTTGAAAGATAAGTATGATCAATTTGCCTTTGAAAGATAAGTAGGAAAACATGCAGCTAAACATGCATCTACAATGAGAACTCACCCCTTTAAGGGCGCCACATCCTCCCATATCATAGGTTTAGCATCCCTATCTTTGCATATCTGCATAAAGAAAAATATATATGCATATATATTTGCTGTAATGTCGTCAAATGTTTAATTTATATAGAGAGGAGGGGTATCCTTACTTGAAGACCTGGTACATCATCAGTCGCCAACAGAGTAATCAGACCATAGTCAGTATGAGCTCCAGCTCCATATAATCCTTGGGAGGGATTTGAGGTTTGACCTTAACCAAAGAACAATCAACACTATTGTCAGTGTCATTTTCATTTTGTAATTATATCAGATATAAGGGACTGCTATTATTTATTCAGCTAGTGGCCTGAGAAGTTCAAGTTTCATTATGCATAGCTTGTGAACAGCGTGGCTTCAACTTTGTAAGTATATTGATATTGATGATATTGATACCTTCATAGTGTAGCAGGCGTAAAGTCGCTATTGGCTCTCCTAGCATTTCTGGCTTATCAAAGAAATCAGCACTCAAACCAAGGGCAAGGGCTATTATTCTTCCGACGGCTCTACCCACTTCTCTGGATGTCCGATATTAAAAGGAACAGTACAAGAAACAACAAATGAAAAAACTTGTAGTTGGTGAATCCATATTCTTATCACTATTACTTTGTATCATACTACTTGTTATTAATAATTAAGTTCCTTAAGTCTTACAATGCCTCTTGATGATATTTTTCCATTGTTCCTCTCCATCCAGGTAGAATATCTAAAAGACAACAAAGTTCATGAAGAAAAATGGATGAGTTATTACCAAAGAGTTTAGTAAAAATGATTTTTTCTTCTAAAACAATTCCCAGGTACTACAAATTTGACAAGTTTACCAGATGCAGGCCATTGGTTTGGCCCATAAAATGGTTTCTGCGATTCTGGGTCATCCTTGGATACTTCAACTCCAATATAATATCCTTCTTTGTAATCTCCTATCCAACCCAAAAAAGAATAAAATAATGAGGAAGAAGACGACCAAGAAAACAAAGTGCTATTTGTATAGACATGCAGGAAGGAACAAATAGAGAATATATTTACCATGTACTTGGTTCTCAGGATCAAGTAGTTCATCAAGAACAGGAGTATATCCCCGATGTTTTTCATTCCTAAGAAGCTTAGTTTTCTCCTTCAGCGGAAGACCGAAAAATTTCTTGCTCTGGGCAAAAACCTCGTCCATGAAATCCTGGCTTATTCCGTGGTTCACAACGTAGAAAAACCCAGAATCCAAGCATGCCTTTTTCGCCAAGGAAAAAAAAAAAAAAACAAAATAATCGATCACACATAATTAAAAACCAATTCACCCAAATTCGAACTAGAGAAGGCTAACCTGTTTGAGCAAATTAACAGATTTGTCGATGTCAGGATCAGAGAGGTCGATGCAATTGAGCATTGAAGATTTGGTCGCTCCATTGTGGTAGGCTTCGACGCGTTGGATTCTCATTTTGATATGAACAAAAGAACGAATAGCTTAAATTCTCTTGGACCGAAAAAAGAGAAAAGAGAAAAGGGCTTTGCTTAGATTCTGAATCACAATCGCCGGGGAATTTGTGGAAAAGAATTGAACGGCCTTGCTTATATAAGCATGGAGCCACAGCCCCCAGCCGTCACCCATTATTGACGAGATGCCATTAATTTTAATTTTAGTGGCTTCCATTGATCAAGATGCATTCAGAAACCTCCACGAAGCAGGTGGTCTGGGGGACCAGTTTCTGATTCTGACATAATAAGTGACGAAATGTGGCGCAAAAATTTTTCGCACACAACCGAGAATTTAGTTCTACAATGCAAAATAAAAATATTTTCATCCGTGCTCTAGCATGTTCCCTCCGTATTTTATATAAAAAATATTTTTAATCAAATCATATATAAATAAAAATTTATTATTTAATTAAAATCATATAAAATTACAGTAATTGTTTACTTTTATTCTTAATAATGCCACAATTAATAACATGATAATAATAAGTAAAACACATAATTAATATCTTCTCTCTTTTTCAATACAAGGACAAAATTATTTAATTACTCAAAAATATCATGACACTTTTTATATTTAAGAATAAAATAAACTTTTAAAAAACATCTTATTTATATATGTGGATGGAGAGGGTATGCAACCATGAAATTAAAAGGAAAACTAGTAATTACATACCTTGTTAAGATTTTAATAACAATTGAAGACCTCAAATTATTGAAATATCATTGAAGGATTATAGTCTTCATTTGAAATTAAAAAATAAATAATTATTAAAATAACTAATGGAATATGACTTATTAATTTAAATAAAGTTATTTATGAATCGAAATAACAATACTTATGAATCAATGAAAAATTAATTATGAATAAATAGATATTCTCATGAATTTATACATCATTTGTTTTTCAAGGACAACCAATTGTAAATATAAGAAATGCCACTATTGAATATATGGAATGTTAGTTGTGATTAGATATAAATGGTCTTAATTGTAAATTAATAATGTAGGAACCTTTTTATATTTTTTAAATTCATTCACAATTAACTTTTTATAAATTCATAAATAACGTTTCAAAAATTTACAAGTGACTATTTTTAAATTTTTAAGTGACAATGTATATATTTATAAAACTATCAATTCATTCACACTTAACTTTTCATGTATTCACAAGTGACCTTCTTTAAATTCATGAATGGTTTGCTATTGGTTATTTCAATAATTAAAAGTATTTTAATTGCAAATAATGAACATGGTCCTTCTATGATATTTCAATGTTTGATGTATTTAACTATCATAAATGTACTTACAAAATTCAAAAGGGCAAGACTTATGTACTTAGCATTGTATACTTAATATAGTTATATCAAATTAAATCATGACATGTGGATCTTTATGTATTAATTTAATTAATAACAAGAATTTATTATAAAAAATAATTTATAAAAGATCTACATATCTTAATTTAAATAGATACAAGCACTTTAAGTATATACGGCAAAGTATATAAGTGCTTCCCAATTCAAAATTATCATTCCCAAATTAAAACTTAACTTGTGATTGCTCTTCATATTATTGAACTTGTCAAATTAAAAGTTTTAGATGGCTTAATTAAGTCTGATTTAATATTTTTTTATGAAATGACATCATTTTGAATTGAAATAAAAAATAATAGTATTTGATAATTGTGTTTTAGTAATTTTGTTTTGTTAGATTATGAAAGTTTAGTTTGTACATGAATATTCCATTTTGTATGGATTAATCTTTTTATTTAAACATTACTCTTTTGATGGTTATATATTAATTTTTATAGCTTTTAATTAAATTATACTATTTGAACCATTATCAAGTTGACATCGATTAGTCCACAATTGGAACATTGATTTTTGGATCACTATTTTGATCGGTGTTTATACATTAGAAATGAATTATAAGAGTTGAAAATGTAATATAATGGGCTAAAATATAAATATGCTTTGGATGTTTTTAAAAAAGCACTACTCTAATATTTTAAACAGTGCAATATTGCCATGACTCTTTTTTTTTTTTAATGAAAAAGGATCAAATATATTCAATTATAAAAAAACAAAGTACAAACGACAAACAAGAAAAACTGGAACAAGTACCTTTCAAAATGTAACACTTTACAGGAGAGGGGGTTGATAATGATAAAAGACATCAAAAGAATATATTCCTCCATTAAAAAATATAAGATATTTTTTAAATAGTTAAATATTAAAAAATATAAGATATTTTTAGTCTTTCAAGATATAATTATTTTTTTTAAGTATCCCTATTGATAATGACTTTATACTTATTATAGGGTATTTAATAGGAATAAGTATGAAAAGATATGATTAGTTTAAAAAAAAATAATTATTTTATTGATGGGTGAGATTCGATTAAATGAAGAGAGTATATTATTATGGTCTAACCTAGTAATCTCACAAATATAAATAGAAGAATCGTTATAAGAAAATGTAAATAGCACATTTTAGTCTCTCATGAGGAGACCTCTTGAGTCAAAACCAAGTTCTTTTTCAATTTGTAACCAAGATGCAGATTCGGTAACATTGCACAATTAATGATCGCCATGAGAGTTTTTAAAAATTGTACAATGCTGCCCTGGGCTAACAATTTCAACATAATGACTATTAGATCCTCTCTTCTGACCAAGATCTACTTAGATGGCAAACTATAGTTGGGTTGGACAAACACATGTTGCTCGCTTGAGTGGGGTTTCACTTGGCCACCATTCCTTCTTCATCCCATCTTCTTCAGTCTGTCAGAAAAATGTCTTTTTGGATTTTGTGATGGTGCCGATCTTGCATTTGCATTTCCAAAACCACATTCATGTATGGATGGTGAACACCTTATTTTTGTTAACGGAGGGTGACATTACATCAATTTTAAAAATACAAGAAAACATTACATATTTTAAACGTTATAATATCAATTGTAATTTTTTGAAAATGTCCTGGGACATATTTGTACTTTAGCTCTATTGTAATTAAATTTAGGGCTTTTGTAAATATAACCCATGTTATATAATCAAACTAAACAAATAACTTAATATTTATTATATTTTACATTACTATTATTTTATTATATTTATCAATGATATACCGTTGTATGTTAATGATAAACTCATTGTAAATTTTTAAATTTTTAATGTTAAAACCATTATATATTAATGATAAATTTCTTATATATCAATATAAACTAGTCATTTTTTTAAATTTTTAAAAATTTAATCTATATTTTTTGGGCACAACATTTTTATGGGCCAGTGGACCAATTTATTTATTAAATTTTGAGTTAAAGTTTATTTTTAGTTTTGAACTATACAGTCAAGAGCATTTAATGTCCTATGCTCAATTTTGGCACATTTTTACCCTTGAACATCTTAAACTAAATCATTTTTGGCCCCAACATTAATTAAGGTTAATTTTAACCATTAAATATTATTATATTGACTATTTCTTCTCCCTGGTATCCAGCTAATCAGATTTTTATTAAAAAAAAAAAAATCCTAACAAAGAATCACTCAATCGATAACCTGACCATCCATTTCTGGTGATATTCTTCTTCTCAGAACTGTTCAAAAATGATAAAAGAAAACAAAACCAGCACCTATCCATCTCTTTAGTACCAAAAAAAAAACCAACAAATATAGAAGAAAACAAAATCGAAAATCATCACCCTTAATCAAACTCAACAACCTCTTGTTTAGTACAGTTGGGTAACATGGGTTAACTCATGGCTCTAGGTTTGGCAAGGCAGGTTAGCATAATCGGCATCCTGTGTGAGTTGTTATTCTGCCAACCCACAAAACCCATAGCAGGGTGGTGGGTCAAGCCCCTAGTAAAATTTTTTTAATAATTTTTTAAAATTTTAAAAATTATAAACTTACCTTTTATTTTTTTTTGCTTCAAAAATTATATATTCCCCCTAAAAAATAATTATCAAAATAATAATAAAAGTCCTTACAATCAAACTATGCTTATATCACCACTTAAATATAAAGTAATTTAATTTTTTGATCTTTTCTTTAGTCTTTTACATAATCGATCAATAATATATATATATATATATATATGAGTTAATAGAAATGCTTCATCTATCCTCTTTTTTTTCATTCTGTTTTGACATTTTTGCTACAAAATTGATGCCCCCAGTTTAAAATAAAAAAAAATCATGATGATTTAAAGTCTGACTATTAGATTACTACTTATGATAAGTTCAGTTTATATCATCTAAATGTTCTTATCTCTATATCTATTTCCCCCCTTTTATGTTCAAATTAAAATGATAATATAATATATACTTAGCATTTCATAAATATGTTTAATTTTTTAAATAAAAATGATAGCTAACTTTTTTTTTATTTGCTAGCTTGGATAGTATTATATTGCAAATAAGATAATATACTATATGAATGAAGTAGGGTATAATAAAATATTTTATTTATTCTTATCTTGATCACATTCAGATTTATTATATCACCACTTAAATATATGAGCAACGTGTTTTTATTGTTTTTTGATATAATTCAAACTTAAATTTAAATAAATGTAAAAGTGTCAAGTATTTATATTGCAATTTCATACATGCTTGCTCTGAATACTTTACTTTAAATTTAATCTCATTTGTTTATTTTCTATTTATATCTTTTAAAAAATATAAGCGGCCTAACCTGCCAATTAGTGGATTAGCCTGCTATGGGTTTAAGTTATGCAAGACTGACCAAAATTGCTTTGTATCCCATTATGCATCTAATTGAATACATTTTCTCTGACTCGACCCACCATTTTTTATGTAGGTTGGCAAGTTCTGCCTATATTACCAGCTTTATGTTTAGGGAACACAATTTCCAGTACTCTACTCTTGGAAGTGTGGCAAAGAGCACATTTTCTAGCTCGTCACCAAGGCCTAGAGCAAAGCCCTAAATTTGCATCTTGAGATATTTTATCACGAGAACCCTTGCCCTTGCCCCTCTCCTCAAGAACCTTCATTTTTTGGTGCAATAATAAAAAGTATTATTTTTAAATCTACAGACTTAAATAAATTGGTATGAATACATACCAAGAGAAATTAATAAAATAAAGACACAAACTATAATTAATTTATATTTATTTAATTATATATAA